CCCCCAAAGTCCTCTAGTATTTTCTGTTTGTCATGGGAGTCCTGCATGCCAAGTTTGGTTCAATTCTATTATTGGTGAAGCTCCAGAATGCGCTTTGATGGCTGGTGAACTATAAATCCACAAAACTGCAATTCCCAAATGTCAGGGTCTGTTTTCACCAAACCCCTCCAGTATTATCGCTTGGTCATGGGAATCCTGTATGCCAAGTTTGGTTCAATGCAATTGTTGTTGGAGCTCAGAATGCTCTTTGATGGCTGGTGAACTATAAATCCACCCAACTGCAATTCCCAAATGTCAGGGTCTATTTTCCCCAAACCAGTGTTCAAATTTTGGCATATTGAGTATTTGTGCGAAGTTTGGTCCAGATCAATAGTTGTTTGGGTTCACAGTGCTCCCCGGATGTAGGTGAACTACATCTTCCATAAATCACTGTCAATTCCTCCCAACCCTCTCCAGAATTTCTGTTTGTCATGTGTGCCAAGTTTGGTCCAGGCACACCAAACTTGTGTGTGCCTGGATTGGTTGAAGGTACTTCAAATCCCTTCATCCATTGTCCATTTCACCCCAAACATATTGTTTTTATCACGAATCACTATGCTTTAATTATGTTCAATTTGTAACAAGGAAAATACATCCTCCATACCAGATATTTGCATTACAATTCATAACAATGGCAGTTGTGAAGTAGCAACAAAAATATGGTTGGGGGTCACCACAACATGAGGAACTGTATTTAGGGGTCACGGCATTAGAAAGGTTGGGAACCACTGACATAGATGGAGTTTGGGGGAAATAGACCATGACATTTAGGTGTTGTAGTTACTGGGATTTATAGTTCATCTACAATCAAAGAGCATTCTGAACTCTATCAACAAATTGAATCGAATCAAACGTGGCACACAGAACTCCCATTACCAATATCAAGTACTGGAAGGGTTTGGTGGACATTAGCCTTGAGTTTGGGAGTTGTAGTTCACCTACATCCAGAGAGCATTGCGGACTCAAACAATGATGGATCTGGACCAAACTTGGCAAGAATATTCTTTATGCCCAAATATGAACACAGATGGAGTTTGTGGGAAATAGACCTTGACATTTGGGAGTTGTAGTTAGTTGAATTTTGTTTCAATCTATTGCGAGCTAAAATATTTTTCCTTGAGGTCCAGAACCTGGTTCTCCCGGTTGCCTTCTGAGAAGCCGCCCCATCTGTGAATCTCCTTAGCGCTCTCTCTGTGCAGCGCATTCAGCATTTCTCTCCCCCTCCCCGAACCGGCTCCTGAGCTTGAATGTTTTACAGCTTTGCCTGGATTTCACACATATTATGAAATCCCCTGAGAGCGCCGAACAAAACGCGGCCTTCCCGCGGAGACAAAGCTCCTCCGACAAAGTCTTAAAAAGAGCCGAGCAGGAAACAGGAAAGAGGACATTTCTTGGGTCCAGGGAGCAGAGCTTGAGCTTTTTCTTAGACAAATCTCCAAATTCAAGCCGCCTTCCAGCCGGCCAAGCTTGAAACACCTTAGACAGCTATTTTACCTTGACCTAAATGCAGGCGATTTAAGAAGGCTCATCTATTAGTAACCATCAGCTTTGATCAGTTGGTTGAAATTGATGTTGTGCTGTCCCACTTTTCCAGCTGCTTTTAATATTACCCTTCCCAGTAGGCTCAAGCAAACACAAACTGCTGCACTCTATCCTAGTCGATCTGTTCATCCTCAATAACTTCTGCCTTCTTGACCCTATACTTGAATTCCTGGGTTTCGTGTGTGAAATGCTGAAAGGTATAGTTTTATTATTTAAGTAGCGTATATACCTGCCGTTGCCCAGGCCTTGGAGGGGCTGCTGCCCCTTTGTTTTCCCTCCCCTTGTACCTTTCCTCCTTTCCTTACTCTTCCTTTATTTCCTTTTTTCGTTTCCTTTCCTTTCCTTTCCTTTCCTTTCCTCTTTCCCTTCCTTCCTTCTTACTTCCTTCCTTCCTTCCTTCCTTCTCTTCCTTCCTTCCTTTCTCTTCCCTTCTTTTCTTTCTTTCTTTCCCTCCTCTCAATACTTTTCCTTTCCTTTCCATTCCTCCTTTTTCTTTCTTTCCTCTTTTCCTTTCTCTTTCTTCTTTTCCTTTCTCTTCTCCCCTTCACCTTTCTCCCTTCCCTAGCTCTGATTTCCTTTCTTTCTCTTTCCCTCCCCTCACACCTTTTTCTCAATTCCTTTTTTCTTTCTTCTTTCTTTCTTTCTTTCTTTCTTTCTTTCTTTCTTTCTTTTTTTCTTTTTTTCTTTTCTTCTTCTCTTTTTTGTCTTTCCTCCCCCTTCCCCCCTTCCCTTCCCTTTCCATCTAGCCTCCATTTATCTTTCTCTTTCCCTCCCTTACTTCCCTCTTTCTTTCTTTTCCTTCTTCCCTTCTTTTTCTTTCTTCCCCTCCCTTCCTTCTTCCCTCCTCCCTCTTTTCCTTCCCTTCTCCTTCCCTCCCCTTCTCCCTTCTCCAGCTCTGCTTTCCTTTTTCTTCCCTTCCCTCATACCTTTCCTCCATTCTTTTTCTTTTTTCTTTCCCTCCTTTTTCTTTCTTCCCCCTCCCTTCCTTCTTCCCTCCTTCCCTCCGTTCCCTTCTATTCATCTTCACATTTCTCCCATCTCCAGCTCTGCTCTCCTTTCTCTTTCCCTCTCCTTTCCTCCATTCTTTTTTCTTTCTTCCATCCCTCCTCTTTCTTTCTTTCTTTCTTTCTTTCTTTCTTTCTTTCTTCCCCTCCCTTCCTTCTTCCCTCCCTCCCTCTTTTTCCTTCCCTTCTCCTTCACCTTTCTCCCTTCTCCAGCTCTGCTTTCCTTTTTTGTTCCCTCCCCTCATACATTTCTTCCATTCTTCTTTCTTTCTTCCATCCCTCCTTTTTCTTTCTTTCTTCCCCCTCCCTCCCTTCTTTTTATTTTCCTTACTTTCCTTCTTCCAGCTCTGAGAGGCCTACCTCACAATGTCTTCATGGTTCTCTTTGTGGCTCATTCTCTGCTTCCCCTAAGACACATGTCCCCTTTCTTTCCAAGTGACGTCAGGAAGGGCCACTTCACCGGAAACAACCAATGCAGTGGTCCTAGAGGTCCACTTCACCTGCCAATAGCCTTTGTGGGAGTGTGTGTGTGTGTATATGTATATATATATATATACACACACACACATTTATTTACTGTATTTGTGTACTACCTTTATCAGCCCGTAGTTGACTCAAGGCGGTTAACAGGGCAAAATTCAGTGTTTATAATATATATCCACTATATATATGTGTGAGTTAGTTTCCCCTCCTGGCTCCTGATTTGAACTGAAATCGAGGAATGGGTGCTTTTAATTCTTCCCCCTTCCCTCCTCCTGGCATTTACATTTGACCAAAGGGGAGGGCAGTTGATCTGACCTTCATCTTGCATTTGTTAAGTGCCGGGTTTCCCATTCATTTACTAAGTTCAACAGTTATTAATCACCATGCGGTCCCCGGAGACGGCAGGGCTTTGGCGGAAAGCATCTCTGAGCCGCAGTGTTCTTTTCGCTGATGTGTAGAAACCAATTGACTTTCTCCTAAGTGCTCTCATGATGGATGGCGCTGGTGGTTCCTCCGAAACCGGTCTGCAAAAATACAATACAAATAACATTTCGGCGAAGGCAGGAAACCTGAAGTCTTGGTTGTACAAAAGTAGACGGTGGAATTGTTGAGGTGGTATAACTGTGTTTTTTTCTTTCTTTCCTGTCCTGGAGAGCATGAAGTGGGAGATAGTGCAACTTTTGTACAAGCATCACGTTCTCTTTGCTATTAAGTTCCAGACCTCCCGCGATGTAGGGACGCTATGTTTACTTTAATATTTATACAGTACTAGCCGTCCACTGCCACACGTTGCTGTGGCCCAGTCTGTGTATATGTGTTTTGTGTGTGTGTGTGTATATTTGTGTATATATGTGTGTTTGCGTGTATACACACACACACACACACACACACACACTAGCCGTCCCCTGCCATGCGTGGACTCAAACAATGATGGATCTGGACCAAACTCTACACGAATACTCAATTTGCCCAAATGAGAACACTGGTTAAGTTTGGGGAAAATAGAATCTTGCCATTTGGGAGTTGTAGTTGCTGGGATTTATAGTTCACCTACCATCACAGAGCATTCTGAACCCTACCAACGATAGAATTGGCCCAAACCTCCCACACAGAACACCCATGTGGGCCACAGCAACGTGTGGCAGGGGATGGCTAGTAAATACAAAAATTATATTGTCGAAGGCTTTCATGGCCGGAATCACTGGGTTGTTGTAGGTTTTTCCGGGCTATATGACCATGTTCTGGAGTCAATTTTTCTCCTGACGTTTCGCCTGCATCTATGGCAAGCATCCTCAGAGGTAGTGAGGTCTGTTGGAAGTAGGAAAAATGGGTTTATATATCTGTGGAATGACCAGGGTGAGACAAAGGACTTTTGTCTGCTGGGGCTAGCTGTGAATGTTTCAGCTGATCACCTTGATTAGCCATCAATGGCTTGGAAGTGCCTGGGGGGAATCTTTTGTTGAGAGTGAATTTGAAATACAAAAATTACTTTTATTATGTGTATAGATATAGGTTCGGAAAATGGATACACCGGTTGAGATCTACTAAGTGATTTCTGGTTTTTGATAACTGTAATTGGATCAGCCTTTATCCATCTTCATAGAAGTTAAGTCCCGTTGGCTTCTTCCTATGTATGCGCTTTTGGCTGATTCCTAGTTATGGCTTATATCTACCTTTGTCAGATTTCTTCCTACGTAAGTGTTGACCGTACCCCAAGGATGTTTATTATTAACTTGCCTTTCTGCAGATAAGTGTTTAAAAGCTTTCTTGCAACCTCCTGGGAGCACAAAAGCGGGGAAATCTTGCTTGAAAGGATTTCTCGAACTTTGTTTTAACCACAAGTCGTGTTACGTTGCATTCCCCTCCGAAAACATGTGTTACGTGTCTCGCTTACATCTCCCCCTCTCCCGCCCTTGTTTTCCTCTTCTTCAGGATCTTAGAAACCAGCTAGAGAAAACTCAGGATGAAATGATTGAAAAAGAGAAGGCGGTGGAGCGTCGTTTCAGTGTCCTCCTGAGCGAAGGCAATCAGAAATTGCAGAGCCAGGAATTGGCCATCTCACGCCTCACAGGCAGCGTCGCCCAGAAGGAGGAGTTGCTCCAGGTAGCAAAAGGGAGAGATGAGATCTTTTAATGGTTGCTGTTGCAAACTAGAGAGATATATACATATGCTCTCTTTTTCTCTGTGTGAGCATAAATTATTTATATTTATTTATTTACGACATTTATATACCGCCCTTCTCACCCTGAAGGGACTCAGAGAGGCTATACACACACACACACACATATACATACACACACACAATATATATTATTAGCATAGTACTATATCAATACTATACCCTTATATTGTAATATTATTAGTAATATTACATGTAATATAAATATATAATTATAATATCATATTATTATTATTATTATTATTATTATTAGTAGTAGTAGTAGTAGTATTATATTGAATTACATTATAATATTATAAATATTGGGGTGTTGTAGGTTTTCAATTCTTCTATAGCAGTGGTTCTCAACCTGGGGTCCCCAGATGTTTTGGCCTTCAACTCCCAGAAATCCTAACAGCTGGTAACTGGCTGGGATTTCTGGGAGTTGTAGGCCAAAACACTTGGGAACCCACAGGTTGAGAACCACAGTGCTCTCTGGATGTAGGTGAATTGTTGTTTTTCATTCGTTCAGTCGTCTCCGACTCTTCGTGACCTCATGGACCAGCCCACGCCAGAGCTCCCTGTCGGCCGTCACCACCCCCAGCTCCTTCAAGGTCAGTCCAGTCACTTCAAGGATGCCATCCATCCATCTTGCCCTTGGTCGGCCCCTCTTCCTTTTGCCTTCCACTTTCCCCAGCATCATTGTCTTCTCTAGGCTTTGTCTCCTCATGATGTGGCCAAAGTACTTCAACTTTGTCTCTAGTATCCTTCCCTCCAGTGAGCCGTTGGGCTTTATTTCCTGGAGGATGGACTGGTTGGATCTTCTCGCAGTCCAAGACTCTCAGAACTTTCCTCCAACACCACAGCTCAAAAGCATCTCTCTTCCTTCGCTCAGCCTTCCCTAAGGTCCATATAACATTATGTATAGTGTATATTTGTCTATATATATATATATATATAGAGAGAGAGAGAGAGAGAAAGAATGATCAACAACTGTAAACATTCATATCAAGAGCACGATGTTTTATCTTCCATCTTCTTTAGTTGCCAAAGATGAAATTCAAACACACACATATAGGGGGAGAAAAAGGAGTGAAAGATGAAGGAAGAGAAAATAAAGAGGAAAGGGATGGGAAGGAAGGAAGGAAGGAAGGAAGGAAGGAAGGAAGGAAGGAAGGAAGGAGGAAAGGATGAAAGAAAAAGCTGAGATTTTATTCTATTTTATTTTATTTTATTTACAGTATTGCTATTCTGCCCTTCTCACCCCGCAGGGGACTCACATATACATGGCAAACATTCAATGCCATAGACACACAACATACATAGACAGACACACAGAGGCTATTTAACATTCCAGCTTCATGAGAGTATGCTTTGAATTCTGGCCACTGGTGGAGCTGTTGCTTCATTGCCCAGTTGTGACACCAATGGAGTACTTCCTCATTCTTTTTCACGCTGCTGGAGATTTTTTTGGCATTGTAAATGAGTTAATTTATTTTTTTCGCATAAGCGGTACCTAAATTTCCTACTTGACAGATGCAACTGTCTTTCGGGCTGCAAAGGTCAACAGCAAACTAGACAAATGGTCTGGAGATTGCACCGACCTGGGCTGACTTCGAACTCATGACTTTTCGGTCAGTAGTGATTTTAATGCATCTGACTCCCAACCAGCTACACCAGGGTATTGGAGTGGTCCCTCCAATGCCTTCCCTCCTTTTGCTTTCCCTCCTTTGTCTTTCTCTCTTTCCATCCCTTCCTCCTTCCCTACTTCTTCCCTTTCCTTCCTTTTCCTTCTTTTTTTCTTTCCTTCTTCCCTTCTTTTCTCCCGACATTGTGAGGGCCTACCTCACAATGTCTCAATGGCAACATGGCTTTCTTTGTGGCTCTTGCTTCCCCCCCCCCTTCCTCTCAATACACATTTTTCCTTTCATTCTCCTTCGTGGTCTCTGTGGAATCGCACTTTCGCACAACAAACTGCCGTCTGTGCGGATTCCACAGATGACCACTCCAAGAAACTCGGTTACAGGTAAGCAACCCTATCTTCTCTTTTGTGGTCTCTGTGGAATTGCACACATGGTAGTCTGTTGCGCATATGTGCAGATTCCACAGATGACCACTTGAAGAAACATGGTTATGGGTAAACAACCCTATCTTCTCCTTCGTGGTCTCTGTGAAATTGTACATATAGTAGTTTGTTGCGCATATGTGCGATTCCACAGATGACCACTCCAAGAAACATGGTTACTAGTGACATCACAGATGGATACTTCGCCTTGCAATAGCCCTTGTGAGACAGACAGACGTATTTTGTCCCTTAATCTAAAAGAAGTACATATATATATATTGGTTTGGCTTTTAAAAACAGAAACTCGAAGCAGTGGTTCAAGAAAAGGATGCAGAGCTTCAGGAATGGTCTGTGAAGCTTCAAACCCTTTCAAAAGACTACGAAGCTCTTCGAAAGCAGAATGAAGACTTGGTCAAGGAGAATTCTGCTGCCTTGGCTCAACAGCATGCCGTTACACTGTCCGAAGAGTTGGAGGTAGGTTAATGGAAAGACCATTCTGTAGTTGCGTGCTCATAAGAGTGGGGATCCTGTGGCCCTCCACGTTTTGCCCTTCTCACCCCGAAGGGGACTCAGGGCGAATCACAGAACACATATACGGCAAACATTCAGTGTCGATTATACAATGACAAGACAGACAACAGATAGAGGTATATATAGGCTTTTCCAATCTTTCGGCATCTTTGGAGGCCGTGCTTGGTTCCGGCCACCAGGGGGTGCTGTTGCTCTATCTCCAGTTGGCAAGATTTATTGCAGCTTGGTAATTAACCTGCATACTTCCACAGGCAAAATCAGGTCTCTTTTAGGTTTTAATCAAAATCCAAATTCAATTGTGAATGGGGGAAAGGAAACCAGAAGCAGCAATTGCATGATATGTGTATTTCTCACCTGGTATGGAATGGGGGCAATGCCTGGCTCGGCAGCAGGACGTGTGAAAAAGATCTTGGAGTGCTCGTGGACAACAAGTTAAACATGAGCCAACAATGTGATGTGATGGCTCAAAAAGCCAATGGGATTTTGGCCTCCATCTTTAGGAGTGTAGTGCCTAGATCCAGGGAAGTCATGCTACCCCTCTCTTCTCATAGTAGTAGTAGTTTTAGTAGTTGTCCTCTCTTCTCATAGAATACTAGAATCATCGACCTCATAGGCCATCCAGTCGAACACCCTGCCAAGAAGCAGGAAAATCGCGTTCAAAGCACCCCCGACAGATGGCCATCCAGCCTCTGTTTAAAAGCCTCCAAAGAAGGATCCTCCACCAAACTCCAGGGCAGAGAGTTCCACTGCTAAACTGCTCTCAGACCACATCTGGCCAGGCCACACTTGGAATCGCACTGTGTCCAATTCTGGGCAGCTCAACTGAAGGAAGATGTTGACTCTAACCTGGAATGTGTCCAGAGGAAGAGGCAACTCAAAGGATCAAGGGTCTGGAGAACAAGCCCTATGAGGAGCGGCTGAAAGAGCTTGGCATGTTTACCCTGCAGAAGAGAAGGCTGAGAAAGAGGAGACATGGATCAAGAAGTCATAAGGAGGAGGGAACAAGCTTGTTTTCTGCTGCCCTGGAGACTAGGACGCAATGGAACAATGGCTTCAAACTACAGGAAAGGAAGGAGATTCCAGCTGAACATGAGGAAGAACTTCCTAATTGTGAGATCTGTTCAGCAGTGGATCTCTCTGCTCCAGAGTGTGGTGGAGGTTCCTTCTTTGGAGGCTTTTAAGCAGAAGCTGGATGGTCATCTGTCAAGTGTGCTTTGAATGTGATTTTCTTGCTTCTTGGCAGAATGTGTTTGGACTGGATGGCCCACCAGGTCTCTTCCAACTCTATCTTTTTCTGCTTTTCTCAGCTGTTCCATCTTTTCCTTTGAAAAAATGAATGATGTCAATAGGTTTGGTTTTCATTTCGGAAAGGTGCCATCTCCTGGCACACGTTCTGTGACTGGACGTTTCTGTTTTTCCAATCTAGAAAACAAAGGAATCTGAATACGCTGACATGCTCGAAGCCCTCAGGAAGGAGCGTGACATTTTTTCGACTCTGATCAAGTCCTTGAAGGAGGCGGATGGGTGAGTGTCAACGTTTGTTTTCTTTTTGTGTGTGTGTCTAAATGGAGGAAGAAACGCCTGGCAGCATGGTCACCCGTTCAATGTGATGTTCCCCATTTAATGTTTGGACACACCATTTTGATGCGGCGAAGCGGCGTGCAAATTGAGTCAATGAGCAGAACGTGCGAGGGGGGCTTAATTGCTGGGTAGGATGCTATGCTGGGTTTTCTGCCTCATTCTGGAGGCACAGCGAGGATCCAGAGGCCAAAATACCTTACAGTCTTCAAGCGGAGGACTACACAGTCAAGCAGTTACTATGCTGCCATTGTTTACTGCATGGATGGGCTGGGTTTTGGAACCAAATTATCAGTCGCTTCCCCCCTGCACTTTAATGGTGTATGAATACACACATACACAAAAACAAACTGACAAACTTAGAAGTAACTTGTCATCACTGGGTGTGTATGTATATGCACACTAACTTCGGGTTAGTGCCCAGGTTGTTTGAAAAAAGGCATTGTATGCTTTTGGATGTTAGAGAATATCACTTAAATTTGGTCCAGATCGATCGTTGCTTGGTTACAGTGGTCTATGGATAGGGGTGAACTGCATCTCCCAGATTCCCAGGGCAATCACCCCCAAACCCTGCCAGCATTCACAGTTGGCCATATTGGGTCTATGTGCCAAATTTGGTCCATGCCCATCATTAGTGAGGCCATTGTTTGCTTTTGGACATTAGATAATATCACTTCTGTTTGGTCCAGATCCGTTGTTGCCTGGGTAGAGTGCTCTATGGATAGGGGTGAACTGCATCTCCCAGATTCCCAGGGCAATCATCCCCAAACCTTGCCAGCATTCAGTTGGGCATGTTGGGTCTGTGTGCCAGGTTTGGTCCACACCTGTTATTTGTGGGGGTCTCAGTGTTCTCCTGAAGTGAGTGAAGGTACTTCAGTTCCCATTGTCTTGTCAATCCTCCTCGAAACCACTGCAGAGCGTAAAGTGGATCATGGTGGGTCTGTGTGCCATGTTTGGTCCAGGTCCATCATTTGTTGGGGTGCAGTGTTCTCTGGAAGCAATTCTCATTGTCTGTTATCAATCCTTCCCGAAACCACTGCAGGGCATAAAGTGGGTTATGGTGGGTCTGTGTGCCACGTTTGGTCCAGGTCTGTCTTTTGTGAGAGTCACAGTGTTCTCTGGAAGTGAGTGAAGGTACTGCAATTCTGATTGTCTGTTGTCAATCCTCCCCAAAACCACTGCAGAGCATAAAATGGGTCATGGTGGGTCTGTGTGCCACGTTTGGTCCAGGTCCGTCATTTGTGGGGGTCGCAGTGTTGTCTAGAAGTGAGTGAAGGTACTGCAATTCTCATTGTCTGTTATCAATCCTCCCCAAAACCACTGCAGAGCGCAAAGTGGGTCATAGTGGGTCTGTGTGCCACGTTTGGTCCAGGTCCGTCATTTGTGGGGGTCGCAGTGTTCTCTGGAAGTGAGTGAAGGCACTGCAATTCTCATTGTCTGTTGTCAATCCTCCCCAAAACCACTGCAGAGCATAAAGTGGGTCATGGTGGGTCTGTGTGCCATGTTTGGTCCAGGTCCGTCATTTGTGGGGGTCGCAGTGTTCTCTAGAAGTGAGTGAAGGTACTGCAATTCTCATTGTCTGTTGTCAATCCTCACCAAAACCACTGCAAGGCGTAAAATGGGTCTTGGTGGGACTGTGTCCCACGTTTGGTCCAGGTCCATCATTTGTGGAGGTTGCAGTGGTCCTTGGACGTGAGTGAAAGTACTGCAAATCCCATCATCTGTGTTCCATCCTCTCTCAAACCACACCAGGACATAAAGTGGGTCATGGGAGTCTGTGTGCCAAATGTGGTCCAGGTCCATTGTTGGCTCTGTCTTTATGTCAATTGACTATTTCCTTGGAGTTAGGGTTTGGAAGGGAGTTGGCGGGTCTGGAGTGAAACTGATTTGCATGTCTTGAAGATCCCAAATGATACTCACACACAGGCGTTTATCTCCATTTCCTTCCTATGTAAAGATTTGTTTACGCCGTACCACCAAGATGAGAGGGTCTTATGATTTAAAGCGAGTTTAGTGCTCTCTCTTCTCTCCTTGCCTTTGGAGCACATTCTTTTATAGGAGCCTTGATGTATAAAAGATGCCAGGGGTCCGCGGCAAAATGTTCTTTAGAGTTTGATGAGCCTTGAGCTATGTCTCCTTCCGTAACCTGCCGCCCGTTGATAGATCTATATTTTTCTTATATATGTGTGCATGCCTTTTAGCATAAATAACCTGCAGGAGGAGATGAGTAACATCCTCGAGTTGCGGAAACAGCTGGAAGAGAACGTTTTCGCGGCCTGGAATTTGCGGAAAGCCCTGGAGGATCAGATCAAGGCCAACCGGAAGGAAGGTGAGAGGGATGCGGGGCCAAAAAGGCCCTAATTAATTAGAAAATATAACAGATCAAATCTTGTTTTTTAAGGCTTTCAGCATTTTGCGACAGTACGTTGGTTAATGAATCTGAATTACTGTGTTGCAAAATTTATTTATCGTGTCAGAAGCAAATTGAGGAGGAAGCGGATCAGGAGTACTTGGTAAAACAGAAGTAGGGTTTATTTTAGGTTTGTAAAGACTTAAAAAGTTTATAGCTACTAAAATAAAGTATTAATATTAAAATAATATTAATATAGCATCCCTACTTTGTGGATTTTACCTCATCGCGAGTGGTCTTGCAACGTAACACCCGGGATAAGTGAGGTAACACTATAATATGTAAATACAATATATTATATTATTACCATAGCACAATATTAGTATTATATATTACCATATTGTACTAAACCATTATACTGTAATATTATTAGTAATATTACATGTTATATAAATAAAATTGTAATGTTCGTTTGTGGGATTAACAGAACTCAAAAACCACTGGACGAATTGACACCAAATTTGGACACAAGACACCTAACAACCCAATGTATGTCCTTCACTAAAAAATGATTTTGTCATTTGGGAGTTGTAGTTGCTGGGATTTATAGTTCACCTACAATCAAAGAGCATTCCGAACCCCACCAACAATGGAATTGAACCAAACTTGGCACAGTTCTCCCATGACCAACAGAAAATACTGGAAGGGTTTGGTGGGCAGTGTCCTTTGGTTTTGGAGTTGTAGTTCACCTACATCCAGAGATCACTGTGGACTCAAACAATGATGGATCTGGACCAAACTCTACACGAATACTCAATATGCTCTAATGTGAACACTGGTGGAGTTTGGGGAAAATAGAATCTTGACATTTGGGAGTTGTAGTTGCTGGGATTTATAGTTCACCTACAATAACGGCGTTCCATGCAGTCATGCCGGCCACATGACCTTGGAGGTGTCTACGGACAACGCTGGCTCTTCGGCTTAGATAATGGAGATGAGCACCACACCCCAGAGTCAGACATGACTGGACTTAATGTCAGGGGACTACCTTTACCTTTACCTACAATCATGGACCATTCTGAACCCCACCAATGATAGAAATGGGCGAAACCTCCCACACAGAACCCCCCATGTGGGCCACAGCAATGTGTGGCAGGGGACAGCTAGTGTAATATAAAATATATAATTATAATATTGTATTATTATTAGTATTATATCGCATTACAGTATAAAATTATAAATATATGTATATGCAATATAGTTTATTATATTATATATTTATTTACAACATTTATATGCCGCCCTTCTCATCCTGAAGGGGACGAGCGGCTTAAAAGATATATATACATACAATATATTATATTATTATTAGCATAGCAGAATATTATATTATAAATACAATTATATTATTAGCAGAGTGCAGGAGACAAAGTGGAACTGTTTTCCTGGCCCTTTCTCTTCACTCTGGTCTCAGAGCAATAGTTCGTGCTGGGGGAGGGGGGCTATCAACGCATGACACAGGAAACAAGGTTGTGCCCGTCAGCTTTCGTATGATATTATTTCTAGCGCCCACTTTATGCTTGATAGTCAAGCAGTGCTTCTTATAAGTCAGAGCACGGTTCAGAGTAACTCCCAGGTGTTTGGGTGTGCTGCAATGTTCCAGTGGGATTCCTTCCCAGGTCATCCTCAAAGCTCAAGGTGCTTGTTTGTTCTTAAGGCGAAAACACACAATTGTATTTTAGATGGATTAGGAATCAGATAGTTTTCCCTGTAATAAAGGAAGTAAGAGTACCTAAAGCTTCGGAGAGCTTCTGTTCAACCGTTTCAAAGCTCCCTGCTTGAGTGGTGATGGCACAATCGTCAGCATAGATTGTGCCACAAAATTATGCACATCTAAGAACGGCATTTGTTAATGAATCTGTGTCACAAAATGTTGCATGTCTACGAAGTGCACCATCATCATGAAACTTTTGGAAAACTGCCTAGGAGGCATTGTTTACAAAAAAGGGTATTGCAGGGCTCAGGCTTAACCCCGCTGGCACGGATGGCACTTTCTCCATTCTCGAAGGAATCCTAATAGCATGTTGAAGACTGTGGTGCTTTTTTTTTTTAAAAAAGGAGGGGTGCTTAGCTAGCTTTTTCCTTGCTCACCACTCATTGAGCCACTCAGCTTGGAGCAGAAATGCAAACATTTTGTGTGACCCCGCTGCTTTTGCCCGCAGAGGGTTTCTGGCTTTGGAGTAAGCCGATTACAACCGGTTTCCCTCCCCCAAATTGCCCAGTCGAACAACGTAAACCACTTTATTCCCACTCACCTGCTGCCGTCGTTTGCGGCGGTAGCTAAAATAAAAATTCTGCACATTCATCTCTCCCTTTTTTTCACTCCCTGCCCTTCTCCATTCCACCTGCCTGAAATTATTTCAAAATGCAATACTTTAAATATGCAAATTATAATTCTTCATTATAATTTTATAATATACAACATAATATATTGTATATACATATAATATTTATACTACTATAATGTAATACAATATAATACTAATAATAATACAATATTATAATTATATATTTTATATTACATGTACTAATAATATTACAATATTATGGCATAGTACAATATAGTAATATATAATACTGATATTGTGCTATGCTAATAATTTAATATATTGTATATGTATATATCTTGTAAGCCGCCCTGAATCCCCTTCGGGGTGAGAAGGGCGGCCTATAAATGTCATAAATAAATAAATCAGAGTCACAATTCATGCTGATCACTGTTTGTGAGGAGGGGGTACATCACAAAAGATTCGGAGGGGAAATTTCCCCTCCCAATAGTACCGAATGTTTGGTATGGGATGTGAGAGGTTGCTACAACTTGTCCCAGAGTCTCAATCCTTATAAAAATACTTTGCATTAATTATTATTATTACGGATATTAACTAGCTTAGGTACCCGGTGTTGCCGGGTTATTTGAAAAAGTCAGTTTTTAAATTGTATACAATGCATAAGGTTGTGGGTGAACTACAACTCCCATCATGCCAGGTTAACTTGCCCGAAGTATCTCCCTCCTCGGAGCTTAAGATCTTCCGGGGAGGTCCTGCTCTCAATCCTGCCACTGTCGCAAACGCGATTGGTGGGGATGAGAGACAAGGCCTTCTCGGTGGTGGCCCCCCACCCGTGGAACTATAAATCCGAGTACCTACAATTCCAAAATGCCCATGCCAATTTCCCTCAAATCCACCAGTATTCAAATTTGACCATATCAGGTATGCATGCCAAGTTTGGTCCAGATCCATCATTGCTTGGGTTCATAGTGTCCTCTGGATGTAGGTGAACTACAACTCCTCTAAATCCTTCCAAAAGCCTCCAGTATGTTTTGTTAGTTATACATTGCGTTTCTGATGGTGTTTGAGACCATATAGATCCAGAAATAATTGTTGTGTGTTTTATTGTGCAGAGGAAACACTGTCATGTTGGAGCGACCAGACCTCTTACATGAGCTTTTGCTTAAGAGGACGGGACCATTTGGACTTGCAGATAGACCACCTCTCCGTGGAAGAGCTGAAGAAAAAGGTCTTCTTTCTCTTCTTTTCCTCCCTCCTTCCCTTCCTTTCCTCCCTCTTTCCTTTTCTTTATTTCCTTCCCCTTCATTTCCTTCCTTCCCTCCTTCCTTTCCCTTCTTCCTTATTAATTAATTACTTAAGTACTTCTTACTTAGTACTGAATCTCATTCAATACAATCACTCCATAACTAAACTAACTTAAGTGAAGTAAAATGCACATAGTCATGTAACGCCTTAGTGATTTTAACTAATTAAAATTACATGTCACTAATTAAAGTTCCAAAAGGATTTTCAAAGCTGTCTTTTCATTAGATAGCTAAATTTCCAGTTCTCTTAAGCAATCCATTACAATCAATACAATAACCTACCTTTCTTCTTTCCCTTTCTTTATTTCCTTCCCCTTCATGTCCTTCCCTCCTTCCTTTTCCTCTTTCCTTCCTTCTTCCTTCTCCTTCCTTCCTGTCCCTCCTCCTTTCTTTTCCTTCCTTCCCTTCTTTCCCTCCTTCCCTCCCTCCCTTTCTTTTTCCTTCCTTCCTGTCCCTCCTTCCTTCCTTCTTTCTATGTAAGATATAAATACAATATTAAATGGGACAGTCAAGAAGTAACGAGAGAAGGAGGGAAAGAGGGAAGGAATGAAGGAGGGAAGGAAGGAAGGAGAGAAGGAGGGAAGGGAAAGAAGGAAAGAAAGAAAGAAAGAAAGGTAAGAAGCAAGGAAGGAGAGAAGGAAATAAAGTGAAAGGAAAAAGAGAGGGAGGGAAGGAGAGAAGAAACGAAAGATAGTGAAAGAAGGAATGAAGGAGAGAAGGAAGGATGTAACCAAAGAGCAAAGAAAGGGAGGAAAGAAACAGGTAGAGATGGAAGAAAGAATAGAAATAGGGAAAGGGAAAGAGGGAAGGAAGGAGAGAAAGAGGGAGAGAAGGTTGGCCACAGCAACGCGTGGCAGGTACAGCTAGTTTAAAAAACCCACATAAAATATATGAAAAAGCAGAAATAAAGAAAGGAGAGGAATATTCCAAAAAAGGTTTAGCGATAGGTGATAGCCACAAAGGAATCCAAATGTTTCATAAAAATCCAAAGGTAATACAGTCCAGGAATAGCCAAAAATCACAAGTGCAGCATAAATCCATAAGCAAAAGGTATACTTAGAGAAAAAAGTGAGCAAGAACCATAAAACAAGAATATTAAAAACTTCTGAGATACTTGAATCCAAAACCAGGACTTGATTTGACACAAGAACACAGGCCTATTTTCTCACTTTGAGGTAAACAACTGGCTGTTAATAAGCACTCATGAAATCATGTCATATCCCATGAATTTTCTCTATCTCTTTCCCTCATAATCTCTCAGACCTACGGACCCGGTTCTCTGCTCTGATCGGCAAACAAAGACTTTTGCTTATCTCTGTAATGCCAGAGTTTTCCATTTCACTTAATTCTTCTTCACTCAACCCCTTATCTAATTACGTTGTTTCTGGCTCCTGCTGCAATAGTATGTTTATTTCTATTTTTGGACCTTGGGCCATACTCAGCACCCAGAGCCCAGACTGAAGCCATGGTTGCCAGCATGTATTTTTTCAGAAATATTGTGCATGATGTGCTTGCAAAATAAATAAATAAATAAAAAATGGCAGGATTTTCTGTGCCTTTCAAGCCGTGTTGTAAAATTGATCTGCGAACCTGTGAACAATTCCTTGTTTCCTCTTTCAGATTGTCGAACTCTTCTCAGTGGTGAAGGAGCTGCATTTAGAGATCCAAGACCTTCGAAGGAAGCAGCTGGACTACTCCCCGTCTGGTTCCCTGGAAAAGGAGAGTCAGAGGCTGTTGGACAACAGTGAGGTGAGGGTTTGTTTCCCATCCCTCTCCAAACTGATGTGGTTCAATCTCGTTTTTCCAGTGAAGTCCACCTGTATGCAGAAGATGGAGAGGAGATGTCTCCATTGGGTGTGCAAATATGTAGGACCAAGGGCTAATTTCTTTCCTAGGTCCCTGTGAAATAGACCCCAAGGACCATCTAGAAACATAGAGTTGGAAGACACCTTGTGGGCCATCCAGTCCAACTCCCTGCCAAGAAGCAGGAAAATTGCATTCAAAGCACCCCCGACAGATGGCCATCCAGCCTCTCACATATTTATGCATGCCTATCATATCTCCTCTCAGCCTTCTCTTCTTCAGGCTAAACATACCCAGCTCTTTAAGCCGCTCCTTATAGGGCTTGTTCTCCAGATTTAGTCCAGCCCCTTTCTGCCATGCAGGAATAAACGGTCCACACCCTCCCAACAGATGGCCATCCAGCCATTGTTTAGAAAGTTCCAGAGAAGGAGACTCCAATGGATTTCCAGGCAGCATATTCCACTGCTGAACAGCTCTTACTCTGAGGAAGTTTTTCCTAATGTTTAAGTGGGATCTGTTTCCTTACAATTTGAATCCATTGCTCCCAAATGTCATGGTCTATTTCCCCCAAACTCCACCATGTTCACATTTGGGCAGATTGAGCATTCATGCCAAGTTTGGTCCAGATCCATCATTGTTTGAGTCCACAGTGCTCTCTGGATGGAGGTGAACTAGAACTCCCAAACTCAAGGTGAATGCCTTCCAAACCCTTCCAGTGTTAGCTGTTGGTCATGTGAGTTCTGTGTGCCAAGTTTGGTTCAATTCCATCGTTGGTGGAGCCCAGAATACTCTTTGATTGTAGGTGAACTACAAATCCCAGCAACGACAACTCCCAAATGCCAAGATCTATTTTCCCCAAACTCCACCAGTGTTCACATTTTGGCAGATTGAGTAGTCATGCCAAGTTTAGTCCAAATCCATCATTGTTTGAGTCCACAACGCTCTCTGAATGTAGGTAAACTAGAACTCCCAGAGTTCAAGGTCAATGCCTTCCAAACCCTTCAAGTATTAGTTGTTGGTCATGGTAGTTCTGTGTGCCAAGTTTGGTTCAATTTTATCGTTGATGGAGTTCAGAAAGCTATTTGATTGTGGGTAAACTACAAATCCCAGCAACTACAACTCCCGAATGTCAAGATCTATTTTCCCCAAACTCCACCAGTGTTCGCAATTGAGCAGATTGAGTAGTCATGCCAAGTTTAGTCCAATCCATCATTGTTTGAGTCCACAACGCTCTCTGAATGTAGGTGAACTAGAACTCCCAAAGCTCAAGGTCAATGCCTTCCAAACCCTTCCAGTATTAGTTGTTAGTCATCAGAGTTCTGTGTGCCAAGTTTGGTTCAATTCCATTGTTGGTGGAGTTCAGAAGGCTCTTTGATTGTGGGTGAACTATAAATCCCAGCAACTACAACTCCCAAATGACAAAATCAGTCCCCCCTCCCAACCCCACCAATATTCAAATTTGGGCGTATCGGGTATTTGTGCCAAATTTGGTCCAGTGAATGAAAATACATCCTGCATATCAGATATTTACATTATGATTCATAACAGTAGCAAAATCACAGTGATGAAGATGCAATGAAAATAATGTTATGGTTGGGGGTCACCACAAAGGAGGAATTGTATTAAGGGGTCACGGCATTAGGATGGCTGAGAAACACTGAAATAGCCACATCTCTCCAGGATGGAGAAAGAGGTGCCTTTGGACAGAAGGCCCCTTTAGCTTCGGTCAATTAACCACGTCCTTATTTGTTTGGCTGCATAATACCTTCATGTTGCAGATTGTCGTTCTTTCTCCGGGGCGACTTCCAGGGCTCCCCCTCTCCTTTAGTTTTCCTTCTTTGGTACGTATACAGCCATCAGCGGAATGAAAGGCAAGCAAACAGCGCTGCTGAGTGACAGTTTCTATCTTGAGTCCATAAATTGGACTTCTGCCTCAAAGAACCGGAAAATGGAATGTTTGAAGAACTTGATTTTTGTCTCTTTCTGGCAGATTTGTAGCCGCGGGAGCGGATCTTGTATTTACCCAGGTTTGATGGCCCTGCACTCAATTAAGGGACAGCCTGGCTGAGTGTCCTTGTGCTCAGGCATTAAGTCGGCCATTATCTCGGGCGACGGAAAGCCTCCCCTCTTCGCTGGGTATTTCTTCTGGAGTTTCTGGGCCGCCCTCCTGTTTCAGAATCGCTCCGAGTTGGCTACGGCAACACTTTTGGAATTACTATTATTACACTTTGTTCTTTCTCCCACTCAGGACATCATTCCACAGATATATAAACCCACTTGCCTAGTTTCCGTTAAACATCGAGAAAACCAAAGTATGCTTCCAGCAGTCACCGGCCAATCCCTCTCCAATGCCAGAAATACCGCTTAATGGTGTAACATTAGAAAATGTTGACCATTTCCGCTCCCTTGGTAGCTACCTCTCCACCAAAAGTCAACATTGACACTGAAATTCAACACCGCCTGAGCTCTGCGAGTGCAGCATTTTTCCAAATGAAGCAGAGAGTGTTTGAGGACCGGGACATCCGTAGGGATACCAAGGTGCTTGTTTATAAAGCTATTGTCCTCTCAACCCTGCTGTACGCCTGTGAGACGTGGACTATCTACAGATGTCACATGCAACTCCTGGAATGACTCCATCAGCGCTGCCTCCGGAAAATTCTGCAAATCTCTTGGGAAGACAACTGGACAAATGTCAGTGTGCTGGAAGAAGCAAAGACCAACAGCATCGAAGCAATGGTCCTCCGCCATCAACTCCACTGGACTAGCCATGTTGCCTGGATGCCCCACCACCATCTCCCAAAACAGTTGCTCTACTCCGAACTCAAAAATGGAAAACAAAATGTTGGTGGGCAGGAAAAGAGATTTAAAGATGGCTCAAAGCCAACCTTAAAAACTCTGGCATAGACACAGAGAACTGGGAAGCCCTGGCCCTTGAGCACTCCAGCTGGAGGTCAGCTGTGACCAGCAGTGCTGCAGAATTTGAAGAGGCACGAATGGAGGACGAAAGAGAGAAACGTGCCAAGAGGAAGGTGCGTCAAGCCAACCCCGACCGGGACCGCCTTCCATCTGGTAACCAATGCCCTCACTGCGGGAGAAGATGCAGATCAAGAATAGGGCTCCACAGTCACCTACGGACCCACCACCAGGATACTACACTTAGAGGACCATCATCCTTGGACTATGAGGGATCGCCTAAGTGAAGTGAAGTAAGTGAAGTTTCCAACAGACCTCACAACCTCTGGGGATGTCTGCCACAGATGTGGGCTAAATGTCAGGACAGAATGCTTCTGGAACATGGCCATAGAGCCCGGAAATCCTACAACAAACCAGTGATCCCAGCCATAAAAGCCTTCAACAATACATTCCCATTACAGCTCGGTTCTGTATTGTCTTTAAACCGCATATAACAAAATTCAAACAATTTTCTATTCTGGGAAACTAGGAAAATGGGGTTGATATATATCTCTGGAAGGTCCAGGGTGGGAGAAAGGACTCCTGTCTGTTGGGGGTATTTATTTATTTATTCATTCATTCATTTATTTATTTTTGTTATTTCTATCCCGCTCATTTCAGCCCGAAGGCGACTCAGGGCGGCGTACAAAACCAGCACAAATAGATGCCGTGTGTGTGTGTGTGTGTGTGTGTGTGTGTGTGTGTATAAACACACACACACACACACACACACACACACACATACATACAACACAGTTAAAAGCAATTAAATTACATCATAAATACATATAAAACATAAAAGCAATAAAAACTATATCCGGAAATCTATAAAACCAATGTCTTCCAGTTCAATTCCTCAGGTGTGAATGTTTCAGTTGGTCATCTTGATTAGCATTTGATTGCTTGGCAGTTTTTCGGTGTGATTTGTTACTGCCTGCAAAAGGGGGGGGGGGGGGGGGGGGTTATCAGTATTATTTTTATTATATTTATGTTATTACTCTATTATTGTTTTTATTACATGTATTATTTACTCTACTATCATTTATATAATTACCTTTACATTATTTTACTCTATTATTTTTATTACATTTATTATTTTACTCTATTATTGTTATTAAATTTATTATTTTGCTCTCTTTATTATTATATAATAATATAAATAACCTTGGCTCAAGTATAAACCGAGGGTAGCTTTTTCAGCCTAAAAAAAGGGCTGAAAAACTAGGCTTATACTCAAGTATATATAGTTTTTATTGCTTTTATGTTTTATATGTATTTATGGTATAATTTAATTGCTTTCCCTGTTGAGAAGTGATTAGGTGTTCCCAATTGTTTCTTGTCTGGAGTTCCCCTGTGTTTGAGTTTTGTTCTTTATTTACTGTTATATCCGATTTGCATAGTTGTTGACGTATGTCAAAATTGATTGAGGAGTTCTTGTTCAAAGGTTTTCTGGTTATTTTGGAAGTTAGGTCTTGTTTTAGTTTTTTTATATTGTGTGATCCAGGAGTTATCTGATTTTTTCTTTATATTGTTCTGCTTCCATTTTTACTGTGACATTCCCCTTGTCCGCTGGGAAAATGATAATATCTGGATCTGAGATGAGGTCTCTGATGGCTTGTCTTTCCTTCCTTGTTATGTTGCTGGGGGGAAGTTTTGCCTTTCTCAGGATCCTTGCTGTTTCCCCTCGTACTTCTTCCGCTTCTTCCTCTGGGAGACGATAAATGGCTGATTCGACATTAGCAATGATGTTTTCTACTGGGATCCTGGTGGTGGTCACAGCAAAATTGCCTCCTTTAGCTAGTATGGATACTTGGTCTTCAGAGAGTTGTCTGTCTGTCAGGTTGATGATGGTCCGCAACGTATCCAGTTCTGGTTTCAACTGCATAACAGTAAATAAAGAACAAAACTCAAACACCAGGGAACTCCAGACAAGAAACAATCAGGAACACCTAATCACCTCTCAACAAAGGATTCTCCCAGGCAATAACAAACCA